AGAGAGAGAGAGAGAGAGAGAGAGAGAGAGAGAGAGGAGGATTTTGGTGTGATTTTAACAAGTTTATATGAAAATAAAATCAATCACACGGTTTCTACAGATGTAAACAGCTGGTTTATTAAGCCTTACTGATGGTACACTGTTGAACCATACATTTTTATGTTTTTTTGTCACAATCCAGAAACATTCAACTCAATCATCAAAGTCTAAAAAAATAAATAAAACATGGTTGGTTGAGCTTCTTTTTTTCTCACAAGTGGACATATTTTGAAGGAGTTAAATCTTGATAATACATTTTTTTATCTAACTGGATGATAAATATGAACCTGCATCTATTTACCTGAGTTTCTGTTCTAATCTGACACCAGAAAAAGAAGCAAGAAGAAGTTAAAACAATCTTTTAGTTAAGCTCATCGGATCATGTGTTTCAGGCAAATACGGCGCCTGGAAAAAAAAAACGCTCCAAATTTAGCTCTTGGCATCCGATTCCATTTGTTCCTCCCTAACAATCCTCAAAGCTCTGATTTTATTTCTATTTTTTTCACAAATGTATTCAGTAAAATATGTTGCAGCTCCAGTATATATAGAGTTTTTACACCACGGTTCACAGTGAGCAGTCACATGTTTCTGCTGTTCGAGGTGAGAAAACAGCTCAGATTGGGGATAAATTAAAAATAATGTTATATGGATACATGGAGGATTTTTAACAGGTTTCTGTATCTGCATGCAGTACCTGTTAGTTATACTTCATCCTATATTAAACCTCTTTTTTTATAGGGCATCTCTGAAATCATCACAAATAATTCCTCAAACTCTCTCGGTCTGATAGTTCAGCCTAAATTTGTGGCAACCAGAATCCACCCACTTCTTTCCAAGCAAAGGAGAGAAAAAAAGACTTTTCACGTTTTATTTTTATGACAGAAATAATTAGAGCACCTTCAGATGTCGCCTCAGGAAACACATTGTTCTCTGAGCAGCAGGACAGTCAGAAATGAGGTTAACTTCCAAACGACTACAAATCATCCTTCAAACAAGCTGCTTTGTGCAAAAAATAAGGCAGAAATCCAGAAACTAAAGATGCAATGAAATAAGTTGTAACCAGCACAAATCTGTTCAGTTCTGGAGGTTTTACATTAGAGAAAATAAAGGTTCAGAGAGAGCATTTCTGTGTATATTTACATTTCTACATTCACCTTTTTGGCACAAATAGTTTTTTTCCCCTCCACATTAATACATACACATCGTTTCTTACATTACATCCTGTAAACACAGAGGTACGTTACTGAGCAGAATGACATGTCGTTGGAAAGAAAACAGAAATAAAAAAAACATGAGCAGAACATGATAAAAGGACAATTACAGATTAATGGTCTTAAAAACATCCTTCATCATGTGTCAAACTCAAGGCCTGTGGGCCAAATGTGACCTACCACGGCATATTAAGTGGCCTGCAAGAGCTTTAAAGATGCATTAATGTCATTGCTTTAGAARCACAAACTARGTCTCCCATAATGCATGCTGATTATTTTACCCACGAAGTGACAGCATCCCACCTCTAGGTGGAGGTGCACAGGGTTCAAAATTAGCAGGTAAAATTCATTGTGTAATATCTCCATTTCGTTGTATTTTTGTCGAATACTTTTGCTGTGTCCCAGATGTACTGGGAAGTGGGAATTTCCCATTTACAAGTCAGAAATTTAAATGTGAACACTCCGTTGAAAAGGGGGTCTCTGCAGTCACTGAGTGGGAGTTTCTTGGTATGTGGGCGGAGTTTGGAAAATTCATCATTGGTCTGTTTGAKTTTTGTGGGAGGAGTTTGYTAAGGARGTGATTGGTCAGACTGAATATTTTGGGTGGTTTGAAGAAGCCATAATGATGAACGCTTGGCAGCTGGAGGGACGTGTAACAATTCTGCTTGGTCGAAACTACCAGGAAGCAGCTATAATTTTTGAATGTTTYTTAGTCATAAATCCAGACAGAAAGGCGCTAGTTACACCACATTAATTAATTGTATTTACATGTTCACAATAATTTAACTAATAGTATTACTTCATCTTCATTATCAAGAACTTCCCCATATGCACTGCAGAGACCCCTACTTGCCTCCAGTGGGAATTCCCTGTTGGAAAGTAGGAGAGTTCAGAACTTCAACTTATTTTTTTTTACCACCAAAAAGGTAGAAAATAAAAGTTTTAGTTTGTCTGTTAGCAAAATATTTCCTGAACCACTGGATGCATTTTATTGAAACTGTCAAAAAAGCAATCCCTAGATCTACAACAGATTCACTTTTAGGGTCAACCTAATTAAAAATGGCTGCCACAGCTACTCAAACCTAATGAACACAAACAGCTACAGCTCAGTCAGTTTCACAGCTGTTAATCTAAAGTCTAAAATCTTGTGGTCGTAGCTGAGATTTGTACACAACACATATTCTGAGCACTGACAGATCGTGCAAAATCTTGTGATTTCACACAGTTTTATATTTTAAGGTTTGACAAAAAATACATCTGGGTCATTTCTCTGTTCTTCGTATAAAACTGTGGCACAAAAAGTGTGTGTGTGTGTGTGGGGG